TCAAAAAACTCTTCTTCTGATTCTTTCTTTGTTAAAGATTAAAAAGGAGAAGAAAAATAACTTGGGAATTCAAAGCTGAGCAAAATTTTTTTTGTTCTAGACTATATTCTACTTCCCCATAAAACAGTGAGCATTATTGATCCAATAGGTAGGAGAGCATTGGAGCAATTGGGAATGGCTTATTAATCCAAAGCTATTATTCTCACTTCAGTTACTGGTAGTGATTATCCAGGTATATGATGATGTGGACATGGAGTTGGGGAAATGATGAGAATGAAGAGTTTCAGTCAAATTTGATAGAAATTGTTTTCAAATTTTTGATGGATCTTGATGGCTGATTGAATATTGGTATTGAAAATATAGAGAAAAATTCTCAGAAAACTATGACTTGAGAGGAACTTCCTAAACTTGATAAAGAACTTAACAAAAATCCTATAGCAAATATCATACTTAATGAAGAGAAGCTAGGTATTTTCCTGCTAAAACTGGAAACAAGACAAGAATGTCCCCTCTAACTACACCTATTCAACATTACAATGAAAGTTCTATGAAGTACATAAGACAAGGAAAGTAAATAAGTATTATATTGTTTTGGGAGGATGAATAAAATTGTCTTTGTTTGTAAATGACATGATTTTCTATGTAGAAAATCCCACATAATCAAACAAAACACTTGAAATAGCAAGGTTGTAGAATGCAAGGTTATACAAAAAACAATTATTGTCCTGTATACCAGCAAAGAATAGAAACACAATATAATTTACCATAGCACAAAAAACTAAATAAGTATAGACTTGGCAAAATATATGCAGAATCTATGTGATGAAAGCTATAAAACTCTGATAATAGAATGCTGAGTGAAATTAGTCAATTATGAAAGAATAAATATCGTATGAACTGCCAGCCTTCTGGTTAGCAGTCAAATGCATTATCCACTGCGCCACCAGAGCTCCCCATATGAGACCATTATTATAAAAATGTCAAGAAAGATTTTCACATGAAAATAAACATTCTTTCATAGTTACCAGAAGTTGGAGGAAAAGGGAGGCTAAATCACTAATTGAAGGTTAAACATGTATATTAACTTGGTTGAAAGGACAGGCAATATACAATGAAGAGGTCTGCAACAACATAGTCCACAAAGCAAATGTTCTACATCTTACTTTCGTGAATAGTGACTGGATCTTAAAAGCTTATGAGTGGCCAAATAAGGTGCAACTATAGATCATTCCCCATCTAGAACAAAGAAGAGTGAAGAAAGTCAAAGATACATGGAAATAACTAGTCCAAAGGCCTAATGGATCACATGACTCTCAGCCTTTATGACCCTGAGACCAGAACTAGATGGTGTGCAGCTACTACTATCAACCACTTGGAAAGGGATTGCATTAGTAAGTCCAGTATAGAATGGGAGAAAGATATGGAACAAAAGTCAAAATCATAAAAAAAGACCAGGCTCACTTGTCTGATAGAGACTGATGGAACCCTTAGTCAACCTTCAAGCATGGAATTGAACTCACCCCCATGAATCGACTTTTAGCCAAACAATAGACAGGTCTATAAATTGAACAATAAAACTAGGGAAATTCTTAGAACAATCAATCACATCAGATCAAAAGGGCAGCATTTGTCCAGGGATAAAGCTCAGAAGACAGGAAGGGATAAGAAAGGAGGAATGGAAACAGGCAACATAAGAGTGGAAGTGGGGTTAGTGCTGCTACACTGTGGGATTGCAATGGCATGAAACTAAATGTGTATGAATTGTTGAAATTAGGAAAACTGATTTTCTTTGTAAACTTTCACCCAAATTACAATAAAAAAGTGTTTTTTATTTTTAAGATGTAAATTAATATTCCTGGATTGGAAGGCTCAAAGTTGTTGTCAAGAGGTCAATATTCCCCCACTTGATTTATAGATAGAACACAAGCTCAGTAAGTGATTCTAAAGTTTATGTGAAATGGTAAGAGACCCAGAATAGCCAACGTAATATTGAATTAAAATACAGTAGGAGGACTGACACTACTCTACCTCAAGGCATATTGTAAAGCTAGAGTAATCAAGACAGTGTGATATTGGTGAAAGAATAGACACAAAACTTAGTGGGACAGAATAGAGAGTCCATAAATAGACCCACACAAATATAGTCAACTGCTTTTTGGCAAAGGAGCAAAGAGAATTCAATGAGAAGAGACCGTCTTTTCAACAGTTGGTGGTGGAGTAATTTGATTGTTCATATGCAATAAAATCTAGACACAGGAATTACATAATTAATTCAAAATGGATTATAAAAAATAACTAAATAAGTTGTTTTTCAATTGATTTTGAATTATGGATACCCTATGTGTAAGAAGCAGAACTGCATTCCATAGGGTTTTTATGGCTGTGAGTTCCTGGAAGCAGATCCCTAGACCTTTATTCTAAGACACCACTGGGTGGTTTGAACCACCCAACCTTTCACTTAGTAGTCGAGTGCTTAACTTTTTGTGCCCAAGAACACCAATATAAAATGTAAAACTATAAAATTTCTAGAGGAAAATGTAGGAGGAAATCTATGTGACCTTGGATTTGGTTATAAGGTTTTAGATATACCAGAAGCATGACCATGAAAAAAATTGATAAGTTGGACTTTACTAAAATTGAAAACTTCTCTATAAAACACTGTTAAAATAACCAAAAGACAATGTACAGACTGAAAATATTTTAAAAGCATGTAACTGATAAAGGAGATTACCCAAAATACACAAAGAACTTTAAAACTCAACATTAAGATAATAACCCAGTTGCAAAATGAGCAAAGGATCTGAACAGATACTTCATCAGCAAAGACAGACAAATGAGAAATAAGTATTTCATTAGAGAATTGAAAATTAAAATAATGAGATACGACTATATACCTACTGTAATGTTTAAAATAGTGTAAAACAAACAATAAACTGAGACAATACTAAATGAAGGTGAGGATGAGGAGGTGAGGAGCAACAGGAATTTTCATTCATTGTTGTTGGGAATGCAAAGTAATAAGTTACTTCGGAAGATTATTTAGATGTTTCTTATAAAGCTAAATATAGTCTTAACACATGATCTAGCAATTAAGTTCCTAGGGATTAACCGAAAGCGTTGAAAGCCTATGTTCATAAAAAAACCCTGCAGATGAATCATTTAGCAGATTTATTTGTAGTTGCCAAAAGCAACCAAGATAAATATCATAATACAATGATATGTATGAAATGTGGAAGAATCAAATATTATTCCACAATAAAAATAAATGAGCTATCAGGTTATTAAAATATATGGAAGAAACCTCAATGCATATTGCTAAGTGGAAGAAGGCAGAAAAGGCTACAGACTGCCTGATTCCAATTATATGACAGTCTGGAAAATGCTAAAATACTAGGACAGTAAAATGATCATTGGTTGTCAAAGGTTTTAGAAGAGGGGGGAAGGGGTGATTAATGAAACATGGGATTTTTAGGGCATGAAAAATACTGTATGTAATGTTTTAATGGTGAATACAGATATTAGGTATGTGTCAAAACCCATAGATATTAGGTATTTATCAAAATCTAGAAGAAAGAACAAATCTGTCTCAGAAGTACAACCAGAATGCTCCTTAGAAGCAAGGATAGTGAGATTTTGTCTCACATACTTGGGAGCAGTCCCTGAAAGAGTATGCTTGGTACGGTAGAGGGTCAGCGAAAAAGAGGAAGACCTTCAATGAGATGGATTGACACAGTGGCTGCAACCATGAACTCAAATATAGCAATGATTGTGAGCATGATGGAGGATTGAGCAGTGTTTTGTTCTGTTGTACATAGGACCTTAAGTTGGAACCAACTCTGTCACTTAACGACAATGCAGAATTGTCTATCATAAAGATTGAATATTAATGTGTGCATATTTTAAAAGTATACTTAGGTTGAGGCACTCCAAGATGGAATTCAGACTGTGACAAGAAAAATCTAACTGCATTATATATGTGCAGAACAAGTTTAGGAGATGGGGGAAATGTACTGACTTCAGTATCTTTTTGGAAATCAATATAGTAAGACTAAAGGCAAAAGAAACTGCATGTAAGCAATGCACTCTAGTTGATAAAGTTGTTTCTCATAGGGGTATTGATTAGTAACTATGATTCTGCCATGCATATACATATACTTCTTGTTGTTGTTATATGCCATTGAGTGGGACCCGACTCATATCTACCCCTCCTTGGGTTTCTGAACCTAAGAAAGTAGATTGCCCAAACTTCCTTCCAAGGAGTGACTATACATATACTAGAATGGCAAAATTAAGTAAATGGATGTCATATGATGGGAGCCAGGTTTCTCACTGTTGGAGTGGGAGTGTACAGATAAACAATGGAAAGAAGCTGGAATGATCTGTATTATTTGATTAGAGTTGGAGACATTAATCTCCTGTTAATCATGAAGCTTCATGTGTTTAGAGATTACTTCCCAGAAGCTGAACACAATGACTTGACTTCTCTTTGGGCAAGGTTAAATTTTTTACTGCACAGTTTTACTATACAGTCTTTGAGTAATTTATTTGTACTTTATTTACTGGTGCAAATTTAATACAGAAAATGAGCAATTGCAGAGAGAATTGGCTTATACTAAATATAAATGGATTTTCAGCAAAAATTGCTGTTTTTCAAAATCATTATTTAGAGTATTTCCAAAAGGAAAATTTCACTATTCACATATTGAGATGGACAAATCTAAAAATACAGCATACAGGACACTGTACTAAATTGAACTTCCTCTGTGATTTGGAGTCCTTTGTTCAAGGTGTGAGCTCCTATCTCTGTCAATCACCGGGTCTCTGGTTCTAGATCTTATGGGATAGAATGAAGCACATAGTGTAATTTATGCAGAAAGTTTCTAGATTTATCATGAAGACTTGAATATGAAGCAAAATCATTTTCTTGAAAAGTGACTAGTTTTAATTCTGTTTTTCATTTTTTTGCTTACATTTACGAAATTATCTTATATTGATTGTAGGGTACAGGAGATGTTGACTGTCATTTTAAAATTAAGAAGAACTTAGAAAATGCATCCATAAGTTTGGAATCTACAAAGTACCCAGGATTGTTCGTTGGACTTCTGTCAGATGGACGTGCAAAGCCAGTTATTTATACCAAGGATGGGAGTGCTTTCTTCTATCCAAAAGTCATCCAGTGTAGGTTTACTCTGAAATACTTAAATTTTAGTTTGCTTTGTAGTGATTTGTATATATTGACTGCTAAGTTGATGTAATGTTTACTAGTCAAAGTTCTACTGTTAGGCCTTTTTGTTGTTGCTCTAGGAAAAAAAAAAAAAAGATACAATGATGATGAGACAACCAGACACTATTGATTTGATGCCAACTCATGTCAACCCCATTATGTCAGACTAGAACTGTGCTCCATGGGGATTTCCATGGCTGATTTTTTGGAAGAAGATCACCAGGCCTTTCTTCTGAGGCTCCTCTATGTAGCCTCAAACCTCCAATCTTTCAGTTAGCAGCTGAATAATTAATGGTTTTCATCACTTAGGGACTCCTCAAATTCTAAAATAATTAATGTTAGATATAAAATAATTAATGCCAGGTGTAGAGTTTTTACTACGTTGGATTCCTTTAATAAATTTTTAAATTTTTTGTATGTGCAGTGTGAGTGTGTTTGTGTGCATGAATGTGTGTATGTATTAAACTCTTTTAAGGGATATCTCCACATATACTGAGAGAGGATGCAATTGTTACAAATGTCTTCAGCTTCATTGCTTCTAATTTTTAATGCTCACAATATAAAAAGAGAAGGTAATATCAACACAATGGTATTTGTAGTAAAAATGGGAATATTTTGAAACTGGTTTATTTCCCAAATTTAGGTTCTTTAGCAGAATGAAGTGAATACACAAGGACCTTATTTAAAAAATTTAAGTTTAAAATGTACTTGCTTGAACATAGAGGTTAATGAAGTAATTCTAGTTTCTTAAATTATAAGATTAATTTGCCTTCTGATTTCTGTCTCATGTGGTTTGCTATGTATCTGATCTGGTGTAATGAATTTTGGCTAACTCCAAATCTAGATGATTTTCTTAATCAATTTGACTCTCATTTAACTCCACTTTTCTTATCAAAATTCATCTGTACTTTATATGTATGTATATCCATATATGGAACACTGGTGGCGTAGCAGCTAAGGCATTTGTCTACTAACAAGAAGGTTGGTGGTTCAAACCTACCAGCTGCTCTGTGGAAGGAAGATAGGGCAATCTACTTCTGTAGAGATTTATTGGAAACCCAGTGAGGGTCGCTATGAATCGGAATGACTTGATGGCAGTGAGGTGTTTTTTTTTGTGTGTGTAGTTTATGTGTATATGTAAATTCTCCTACAGAATATAGTTTAAAATAAGAACACAATTTTATTTTATTTAACATGTGTGCTATCTCCGTCAATGTCTTTTAAGCCTTTAGTTGCCATACTTAAAATGTTGCAAATTATTTGGCTAGTACGTTTTAACTTGCTGCCATCCATTTTTCTGCTCTCTTCATCTGCTTTTTCCATAGACTTGTGCAGAATGGCACTCCTACTCAACAAAATGGGTATGCCATCTGTCCTGGAGCTCTTGGAGAAAGCAGATGAATAAGAGAAAGAAAAGATATATAGGGTAAAGCAGAAAAAAGCAGAAATAATTAGCAGAAGATAGCAACCAACCTGGAAGAACACGGGATGGAGGGAAAAGTAACAGAAAGGAAGAGACAGAGAAGAAAAGATGAGAAAGAAACAATAATTAGAAAAGGAGCTAAGAATAAAAAAATAATTTGTGGAAATACAGAGAGAGAGATACCTAGATCCTTAATGCCAATACTGCCAAGAGAAATGAAGTAATTCTTTACAGGATCTCCAATTTAGTTCCAATGCTAGACCATGGATGACTTGGGTTTTTGTCTCTATTTACTAGTTGTGTGGTACTCAAACTCAAAACTTTCTGCTGTGGAGTAGATTCCAATTCATAGTGACCCACATTGGGTTTCTGAGGCTGTAAATCTTTTCGGAAGTAGATTACCCCATTTTCCTTCCACGGAATGGCTGATGGGTTTGAACTGCTGACCTTCTGGTTAGCAGCCAAGTGCCTTATCCACTATGCTGCCAGAACTCCTTATATGGTGCTAGTCAAATTGAGTCAGGTCAGAGAGTGTTGTTGGTACTGTTAAAAAGGGATAACAATTATAATTTTCATATCTACCCAGCTGTTGAGGGAAGAGCAAATATAAGTGAAAGTTATGTTTTCAACAAGAATAGCTAGTTATTTGTGGGTAGTTATTTTATGCCAGCTATTGCAAACATGGTTATATCATTTAATTCCACAGCACTGAAAAGTAGGTATATTATTATTCTTTTAAAATTGTATTCTTATAAAACATATATAACATGACATTTTAACCATTTTAAGTGTATGTTTCAATGATATTAATTATATTCATCATGCTGTGAAACCATCACCATTATCCATTTTTTTTATTACCTCAATGAGGAACTCAGTATTCCTTAAGTGATACTGCCCATATTCCCCTCCCACAATCAATTGTAATCACTAATAAAATTGTCTCTATGCCTTTGCCTATTCTAGATATTTCATGTAAGTGGGGTCAAACAATATATGTTCTTTTCTGTTTGACTTATTTCAAGGTTCATCCAAGTCATACCATGTATTATGAAGTTATTTCTCTTTATGGCTAATATTCCATTGTAAGTATATACCACCATTCATTTATCCATTCCTTTGTTGAGGGACATGAGTTGTTTCTACTTTTTGGCTATTATGAATATGGATGGCTGCAATGAACACTGGTGATCACGTATCTGTTTCAGTCCCTATTTTCAGTTCTTTTTGGTATATACATAGAAGTGGAATTGCTAAGTCGTATGGCAATATACTAGGAAGATGTTTACCTGTGTTTTATTGACTATGCAAAAACATTTGACAGTGTGAGTCATAACAAATTATGGATAACATTTATGAGTATGAGAATTCCAGAACATTTAATTGTGGTTTTAAGTCAGTAAAGTTGTATCCTGTCACCAAACTTACTCAATCTGTGTGCTGAGCAAAAAACCTAGAAGCTCGACTATATGAAGAATGTGAAATGAGTATTGGAGGAAGACTCACTAACAACCTGTGAGGGGAAGATTACACAACCTTTCTTGTTGAAAGTGAAGATGACTTGAAGATCTTACTGATGAAGATTAATGACTAGTCTTCAGTATGGATTACACCTCAACATAAAGAAAACAAATTCCTCTCAATTAGACCCCAAAACAATACCACAATATAAAAAAAGATTAAATTTTTCAAGGATTTAATTTTACTTGGATCTATAATTAATGGCCATAGAAGCAGCAGTCAAGAACTCAAATGATGTACTGCATTGGGTATATCTGCTTCAAAAGATCTCTTTAAGGTGTTTTGAAACAAAGATGTCACTTTGAGGACTAAGGTATGCCTGACCTGAGCCATGATGTTTTCAGTCATCTCATATACATGAAAAAGCTGGATAATGAATGAAGACTGAAGAAAAATTGATGCCTTTAAATTATGGTGATGACAAAAAATATTAACTATACCATGGTTGTCAGGAGAAGAAACAAATGTCTTGGAAGAAGTACAGCCAGAATGCTCTTTAGAAGTAAGGATGATGAGATTTCATCTTAGGTACTTTGGAGGGACCAGTCCCTGGAGAAGTACAATATACTTGGTAAAGTACAGGGTCCGTGAAAAAGAGGAAGACCCTCAATGAGATGGATTGACACAGTCGCTGCAACAGTGGGCTCAAACATAGCAAATATTGTGAGGATGAGGCAGAACTGGGCAGTGTTTCATTCTGTCCTACACAGTTTCTCCATGAGATGGAACTGACTCCACAACACCTAACAACATGGCAACACTGTATAACTTTTTCAGGAATTTCCAAAATGTTTTTGTTTGTTGCTACATCATATTACAATCCTGCCAGCAGTAAATATGAGTTCTAATTTCCCCAAATCCTCACCAATATTTTTTATTTTCTGTTTTTCTGATAATAACTATTCTAGTAGGTGTGAGGAAGTATCTCATTATGGATTTGATTTGCATTTACTTAATGACTAATGACATTAAGCACCTTTTCATGTGCTTCTTGGCCAAGTGTGTGTGTGTGTGTGTGTGTGTGTAATATATACATTTATAAATTGTTGTTGTTGTTGTTATTTGCCATCAAGTCGGCCCCGACTCATGGCGACCCCTCCTTGGGTTTCCGAGGCAGTATCACTGCGGAAGTAGGAATGCCCAACCTTCCTTCCGAGGAGTGACTGGTGGGTTTGAACCACCAGCCTTCTGGTTAGCAGTCAAGTGCCTTAGGCACTATGCTACCAGAGCAAACTTACTGCCATCAAGTTGTCGAGTTGGATCCTACTCATAGCCACTCCTCCTGGGTTTCTCAGATGGTAACACTATGGAAGTAGATTGCCCCATCTTGCTTCCAAGGAACTGGGGAGTTTGAACTGCCAGCCTTCTTGTTAGCAGTCAAGTGCCTTAAGTACTAAGCTACTATATATATATATATATATATGTGTGTGTGTGTGTGTGTGTGTGTGTGTGTATATATATATATATGTATGTATATATATGCAAATATATATGGTTTTTGGGATAAATGTCTATTCAAGTCCTTTGCCTGTTTTTTCTAATTGAATTGTTTGTCTTTTTGTTGTCAAGTTATATTTCTTTATGTATTTCAGATGTTAAATATTTATCAGATACTTTTTCTCACTCTGTAGTTTGTTTCCTCACTTTCTTGATAAAAACTTTTAATGTTTACAGTTTTCATTTTGATGAAGTACAATATATTAATTTTTGGTGGTGTTGCTCAACATTTGGTGTCATATCTAAGAATCCATTGTCACAAACAAGGTCCTGAAATTTTAACCCTATGTTTTCTTTGAACAGTTTTCTGGGTTTGCTTCTTATATTTAGGACATTGACCCATTGAGTTAATTTTCATGTATGCCGTGAAATATGAGTTCAACTTCATTGTTTACTTTTGGAGATCTAATTAGCAAAATTTATGGAAAAAATGTTATTTCCCTCATTGAATAGACTTCACATCCTTATTGATAATCAGTTGTTTGTAGACGTATGTATTTATATCTTGATTCT